AAAATGCCAGTTTGTTTTTGTTTACTAAATCATGAAAATGTGATAAAAAAGATTTTTTTCAAAAGAAATGTTTCAAGAATTCAAAGCACACTTATGTAAGATATAACAGATGTTTTTACAAAGTCCGTTTGCGTTTATCTTTAGAATCAAAAAAGTTATGTATACAATTGATAGAATGTCCAAAACACCGAAATTTTCAGTTAATGTCCAAAATTTCGATCCTGTTTATCTCTAAAAGAAGCAAATGAATGTATATTTCTTATTACATATTTGAATTGACTAGGTGAAAAATAGCATGTATGCAAACTTTCGTCAAAAATTCACAGTGGGATCAAACTGTATCGTATGCCCTTAAGATATGTTAATACAATAGATGGGCCAGCGGGTGTTTAATTACTGTCACACTAAAACACTTAAACATGTTGAAGTTGACAATTTGAAAGATTAAATCACTACATGTGTCATAGATTTTTGTTTCATGTTTCAATATCAAGGAAAATATTGAGATATGATGATGACTTTCTGGTTCTTGTATTTCTAAAATTTCAATCTTACTTTGATACATGTCATGGGGGTGATTTATTGACAGGACATCATCAATATATCTAAAGTAAAACTAAAGAACTTTGCAAGATGCATATGTGTAAGGTATTAATTGAGATATATAAACGCAATACGATGGGTCAGGGGGTATATTTCTGCTGAGAAACGTGACATTGAATATTTGAAAGTTGCAATTATCACGTTAATCATAGTTTTTAGTTTGATGTACATTGTAGTCCATCTGAATCAATAAAAAAATATCAAGATACGAGGATTTCCTTCTGGTTCCTGTATTATTTATTATCTCAATTTGAAAGGGATATATGAAACATGTGATAATAAAGTCAAGATAATTTCAATATATCTGAAAGGAATAACTTCAGAACTTTACAAGATGCTTTTTCTTTTTGTCTTTGTGCAGGTTATGTTTGAATACTGTTTGAATTTAAAAACAAGTCGACCAGTAGGGGAGCACACGTCTTTTTGTAGAAATATCATTCCAACAAAACTAAAACAAATATAGTCAATATGATGTCAATCAAAAGGTCCTGGTATGAAGGTTTGTTGTTTTATATAAATGTGGTTCTTCGGAAAGTAAGATTTTTTATTACCTAAGAAATTTTGGAATTGTAGTGTAGAGTGTAGAAAAGTCAACACTGTTGACATGTAGTACTTCAACACTGTAAAGATTCTAATTGAAGTGATGCATATATAACGTAGATTGTTCTTCGGGACTTACGTGTCGTGCGCTTGTTGTCCATTTACATATCCCTCAATCTTGTGCATACATACAAAAATCAATTAAAAGGCATAATACCAATGTTGCTTTTAACTCATATATGTCATTCTCAAGTGTATAACAGACAAACATGGCACCGATGTTACTTTAGACATAAATTGGGCGATATCTAAAAATAAATTCATCGCTTTAGATTTATACCCCAAATTAAAAAAGCACATAAGTTAGGCGAAAAATAAATTAATATAAAATTTAGAATAGATGTGTGTCACATTTGTTTTCATAAATTGAATTGTTATAACTTGTGCCATCAGTTCTCTCGTTTGAATTGTTTCACATTTTTCCTGTCAGGGCCTTTTATTGCTGACTATAAGTTATAGTTTTCGTTCATTGTTTAAGGCCATACCGTGACATAACTAGAGGCTCTCAAGAGCCTGTGTCGCTCACCTGACTCTACTTTGGTTTTAGAAATCATGTAAAGATAGAAAAAAAACATAACAGATACCCAAATAATGATTGAGGCCAAATTTTGATTAATATTGGTCCCGTTATTTAATAAAATATCCTATTGGCCATCTTGAACAGTAAATCGCCAACAAAGTAGCAACACTTGGTCAGCACGTCATAAGGAACAATCTAGCCATGTTTGGTTTCATTCCATTCAATGGTACTCTAAAAGAAGACATTTGTATGTATTTCCCATAGGGTCCTATGTTAAACTAAGCCCCCCCCCCCCTAGCGGCCATCTTGGATGATGGATCGACTGCAAAGTAACAACACTTGGTCAGCAACTCATAAGGAACATTCATGCCATGTTTGGTTCAATTCCATTCAGTGGTTCTCTAAAAGAAGACAATTGTATGTATTTCCCATAGGGTCCTATGTTAAACTAAGTCCCCCGCTGTCGGCCATCTTGGATGATGGATCGGCTGCAAAGTAACAACACTTGGTCAACATCTCATAAGGAACATTCATGCCATGTTTGGGTCCATTCCATTTATTGGTTCTCTAAAAGAAGACATTTTTATGTATTTCCCAAAGGGTCCTATGTAAAACTAAGTCCCCCGCTGGCGGCCATCTTGGATGATGGATCGGCTACAAAGTAACAACACTTGGTCAGAACCTCATAAGGAACATTCATGCCATGTTTGGTTTCATTCCATTCATTGGTTCTCTAAAAGAAGACATTTGTATGTATTTCCCATAGGGTCCTATGTTAAACTAAGTCCCCCGCTGGCGGCCATCTTGGATGATGGACCGACTGCAAAGTAACAACACTTGGTCAGCATCTCATAAGGAACATTCATGCCATGTTTAGTTCCATTACATTCAGTGGTTCTCTAAAAGAAGACATTTTTATGTATTTCCCATAGGGTCCTATGTTAAACTAAGTCCCCCACTGGCGGCCATCTTGGATGATGGATCGGCTACAAAGTAACAACATTTGGTCAGAACCTCATAAGGAACATTCATGCCATGTTTGGTTTCATTCCATTCAGTGGTTCTCTAAAAGAAGACATTTGTATGTATTTCCCAAAGGGTCCTATGTTAAACTAAGTTCCCCAATGGCGGCCATCTTGGATGATGGATCGGCTACAAAGTAACAACACATGGTCAGCACCTCATAAGGAACATTCATGCCATGTTTGGTTTCATTCCATTCATTGGTTCTCTAAAAGAAGACATTTGTATGTATTTCCCATAGGGTCCTATGTTAAACTAAGTCCCCCGCTGGCGGCCATCTTGGATGATGGACCGACTGCAAAGTAACAACACTTGGTCAGCATCTCATAAGGAACATTCATGCCATGTTTAGTTCCATTACATTCAGTGGTTCTCTAAAAGAAGACATTTTTATGTATTTCCCATAGGGTCCTATGTTAAACTAAGTCCCCCACTGGCGGCCATCTTGGATGATGGATCGGCTACAAAGTAACAAAATTTGGTCAGAACCTCATAAGGAACATTCATGCCATGTTTGGTTTCATTCCATTCAGTGGTTCTCTAAAAGAAGACATTTGTATGTATTTCCCAAAGGGTCCTATGTTAAACTAAGTTCCCCAATGGCGGCCATCTTGGATGATGGATCGGCTACAAAGTAACAACACATGGTCAGCACCTCATAAGGAACATTCATGCCATGTTTGGTTTTATTCCATTCAGTGGTTCTCTAAAAGAAGTCATTTGTATGCATTTCCCATAGGGTCCTATGTTAAACTAAGTCCCCCGCTGGCGACCGTCTTGGATGATGGATCGGCTACAAAGTAACAACACTTGGTGAGCACCTCATAAGGAACATTCATGCCATGTTTGGTTTCATTCCATTCAGTGGTTCTCTAAAAGAAGACATTTGTATGCATTTCCCATAGGGTCCTATGTTAAACTAAGTCCCCCGCTGGCGGCCATCTTGGATGATGGATCGGCTACAAAGTAACAACACTTGGTCAGCACCTCATAAGGAACATTCATGCCATGTTTGGTTTCATTCCATTCAGTGGTTCTGTAGAAGAAGTTCAAAATATAAAAAGTTAACGCCGACGCCGGAATACGACGGACGACGCCGGACGACGACGGACGACGGACGACGGACGCCAAGTGATGAGAAAATCTCACTTGGCCCTTCGGGCCAGGTGAGCTAAAAATGCGTTTGAATCCTGGGGGGTAGTAGTCTCATTGGCAATCATACCACATTCTATTATTCTTATACTGATATAAATATGAAGTTATTCCATAGGGATCTTCAAAAACTTAAACCTGCGTCATTTCAGTTAACTTATCAGACGAGTGCGTGTTAAATATTTCAAAATGGGTTTGTTCGTAAATAAGCGTAGTTTTGGATCTTTAACAGTTTGGTCATGGACATTAATGAATACCAAAATTCCGGTACACACGATTTTGATTTATCCCAAAATTGATGAACTAAAATGGCAGGTTTTCTTGTATATATCATGTATATATTAAAAACATGAAATGCATTGGTTTATAAAAGCCGTACGAACTTTAGGTATTTGTATTTCCATACACGGTGTTCTTATGCATATGCATTATTGAAGAGACATTGATTGAAGCGGAATTTGTACTTGTATTGTTATTAAAAATGACCTACAAGTAAACAATGTCTATAGAGCTAAAAGAAAATTGAAAAAAACACGTTATAAACTGCATGCGTCCGATGCGTTTTCTGTATTTACCTTCATAAGGAGCGCTCAAAGTCGAATATTTGAAAACCAAGGATGTATAAGGACCGAAAATGTTGAAGAGCAATAAACCAAAAAGGACCTAAAAATATAGCCATATACATCTAAGGCCAACTTTGCCTGAGGGAGTTGAAACCTTAGTTTCTGTATAATTTCAAAATTTATAAACGGGCAATTTCAGATAGTTTGTTATAAATCATGTCAGTACCGAAGTACTGACTACTGAGCTGATGATACCCTCGGGGACTGATAGTCCACAAACAGAGGTATCGACTCAGTGCTCAATTGAATATATGTAGCACTAGTGTAAAGTATAATAAAGTTTTACAATTATAACTTAATAAAATGTTTTCAAGGAAATCATGGGTTCATTAACATAAGCCCAAGCTAAATGAATTTGGACTGACAGTTTTCTCTCCAAGCACTCGAATAAAAACAAGCATGATTGTATAGATTCATTTTTTTTTTTTATTTATAAACTAAATATGATACATCATATTAATAATATAAAATAACTCCTAACAAAATTGGTGTGTGAAAGGACAGGTTTGTACTTGGATGCGTAATGATCTTTAGATATTATCAAACGGGACAACAAATAGCCAAATCGACCCAATGTCAGTACTGCAAAGAAAGACAGAGGTATGGTAGCAATACACAGTTAGGAAAAAAACCTACGATTGACACTCATAATTTTTAACCAACCTCTTTCCCTTGCTTTCTAACGAAAAAGGCTTTTTGTTTGTGTTATGCATGTGCATATATATGGATACAGCATCTTCCATATAGTTATAATGGTGAAATATAATCTGTTTTTAGTGTAACTATGGCAAGAATAAGCATTTATTTTATACTAGATATTGCAAAAAGGTGGTGAAAATGTCACAAAAGTCCCCAAAATTTTGTCCAAAGAAGGATTTTAATCCATTAGAGTGATACTTTTCCTGAAACCATAGACATTTATCTATCAAGATATCTAAAAAACAAATAATATGCATGGCTCATTTTTCCATAAAATTGAATTGAAAAGTTCGAGGGTCAAATCTTTGTTGAAAAACACTATAATAATTTCTGGACCCATGGGCGGTACGGATGTGAAAATATGGACTTTCAAATAGAAAAATGGCCTATAAAACATGCAAAACATAATCTTGATGTTCATATAAACCCACTTGAAAGGTTATATTATTCTTCAGCTATCTAAAAATCAATTTTATTGTACAAACATTTTCATATTTAAAAAAATTCACCATGGCCAAAATGCAAAACTAAACTTCTAACTGTTTATTGCTACCTATAGCTTTTGAAGACTTTCTACATTTATCTACGGTTATGTTAAGAATCATGTCAGCTACGCAGCACTGCCCACTTAGCTGAAGATATCCTCGGTGACTACTATTTCGTCAGCAGCTAGAGCCAAATAACACTTATAAATTTGGTCCATCTGAACATGCTGAAGCACTTGTTAAGACTGCTCAACTGTCAAATCCCAAACATTTGAAAGCAAATGATGTATACAAACTTGTGCAACTACTTAAACAAAAGGAACATAAAATGAATATTTAAATGCACCTAAGGTCAACTTTGCCTGAAGAAGTTGGAACTTAAGTAAAATGAAAATAATAATTTATACATCTGATGTGTCCATAGCACATTTCATTCTTAAATTTCATAAACGCTCAAACCAGCAAATGTGAAAACAAGGATAAATAAGTACTAAAATTCTTGGGAAGCTATACGACAAAACGAGACGTTACAGGAATAACAAAATAATCTAAAGTCACCTTGGTTGAAGGCGTTGGAACTATTAGTTTATTGATAATTTCTTAAATTAGCATTACATATATCATGCAACAGGCGAATGAGTGTTGAGTGGTCTCTTCCGCCGCTGTTTTTTTTACAATGGATGAGGTATTTGTATGATCTGTGTAACACTTTATTCACTTTATACCTTAAAAAGCTAAAACTAGAATCTTACATGTGTAAAGTCAAACGACATTGGGCAATCAACAACTATATTTTCAGTTAAAGTTTTTATAATTAGTTTGACGAAATTAGACAATACTAGAATTCAGCTTGACACCCATAAAATATTTCGAAAGAATTGTTACATAGAGAAACATGGTATGATTGTACTATATGACTCGGAACTTTTCATTTCCGACAAAGGAAGACTTACTCGGTAACACATATGCCTATTTGGAGTGAAATTTTCGTCAAAGTTCGATGGAGTACATTCTCCGACTAGAATACATGCAGCCATATGGCTTGTATAAACTATTGAATCGGGAGATATACAAATAAGAGATCCACTATCTCCTGGCATTGAAAATTGTCCAAACTGTCCCTCAATGACAAAATTTTCTATACCATAATTTGTCGTCTCGGTTTTTATTAAAATAATACCTATGTAGTTTCCTTTAGTTAGACCTGTAGTTGCTCCCCATTTATAAAACTGATCGTCTTTACCTGGCGTCATGTCAATTTCTAATACTTCACCCGATACAAAACAATTGTCCTCGGTACGAATGCCGTGATTACAGACAATATTTGTATTCCTCAATTTCAACAGTGCAAAATCCAATTCAGTATTAAACGTAAGGCTGTCTGTGGAAAGTGCCATTCCACCATTGGAAATAATGTTAGCGTCTCCGGTGATGGCAGTTACATGCTTACAAGTAGCACAGTAATACCGATTTTCTCTGTCTTTCAATGGAAAACTTGCAGTCCCATAACGATTTTGATTCCCCACCTTCATGACCCTATTTCCAGACTTAAAACAATGTTTAGTAACGATCATTTCCTTATACTCACAAATTTTTACAGGTGAAATATCCGTACAATATTTACAAAGATATTCTCGAATTGATTCTTCGTTAGTTTCTTTCTTATGTATGTATATCTTTATGATGTCTCCAAATAATCCATATGCTTCAATTTGCAAGTTCCTATAACATAATACAAATGTAAATTACAGAGTTGAAAATAATTGCATCATTAAACAAAATATATTTGTTAATACATGAATTTTTACCACAAAAGTAGTATAGTTACAGACTTGTAATAATAATAAACAAACTATGAATAATACATTGTGTGTTTCGGGGTTTGTTTAAACCGATGTGGGAACTGTGGATTTTTTGAGAAAATTATTTTCTTCCAAAAAAATAACAAAATGACCAGAAAAGAATCCACAGGAATATCGTTTCAACTTGAATATATAAACTCCATTTGCTGGCAATGCTTGAATGTTGCTACATAGAACTGGTTAATTCACAATATGGAACCTGAAATTATCTTCTTTTTTTTTCTTCCAGTGAAGTGTGGTTCTCAACCGATCTTAATTGCGAATTTATAGACGTATGTACCTATGTTGAGTGCACAGAGGAAAACATATTTTTTGAAAATTGTTTGTCGAAAGATTACGTGTCTGTTTATTGTAGCTAATAGGAGTACATAGATATAAGAAGATGTGGTATGAGTGCCAATGAGACAACTCTCCATCCAAGTCACAATTTTTTTAAAAGTAAACCATTATAGGTCAAAGTACGGTCTTCAACACGAAGCCTTGGCTCACACCGAACAGCAAGCTATAAAGGGCCCCAAAAATGACTAGTTTAAAACCATTCAAACGGGAAAACCAACGGTCTAATCTATATAAACGAGAAACATTTATGAACCACATAAACAAACGACAACTACTGAACATCAGATTCCTGACTTAGGATAGGTGCAAACAAACGCAGCGGGTTTAAATAAAGGCAACAGTAGTATACCGCTGTTCGAAACTCATAAATCGATAGAGATAAAAACAAATCCGGGTTACAAACTAAAATTGAGGGAAACGCATCAAATATAAGAGGAGAACAACGACACAACAAAAACACAACATTAAAAATGTAACACACACAGAAACGAACTATAATATAACAATGGCCATTTTCCTCACTTGGTACAGGACATTTTAAGAAAAAAATGGTGGGTTGAACCTGGTTTTGTGGCATGCCAAACCCCCCGCTTTAATGGCAACGTCAAACACAACACCAAAACGACAACATCACATGACAGGACCACAATACAAATAAATGGGAGAACATATAGGACAAAGAAACACACGAATAATAGCTAACAAAAGGTATTAAACGTTTTAATAGGTACCAACCTTCCAGTCTTATATTCGATTTAGGTTTCCACAAGTGATGAAGTCCGTAATTTTAATCGAAATAAGTGTTCAAGACATGTCACCGTGTGCTGAGAAATTATTAGGTTTGCCCGTGGTTAAACGTAGATCATTCCTTCGTAATTTTTCGGACGCCATCATGAGTTGGTTGACCGTTACGGATAATCCGTTTCACAAATGATAGCAGATATGTTCCTACTGTCGTCACCACAATCCCGTCGTCCCCTTTTCCCGAATGTGGCCTACCGAAAAAGACTTTTACTGGGTTTGTACTAACATGAGCAACACGACGGGTGCCACATGTGGAAGATAATTTGCTTACTCTTCCGGAGCACCCGAGATCACCCCGTGTTTTTGGTGGGGTTCGTGGTGCTCAGTCTTTAGTTTTCTATGTTGTGTTTTGTGCAGTAATGTTTGTCTGTTGTCTTTTTCTTTTTTAGCCATGCTGTTGTCAGTTTATTTTCGACTTATGAGTTTGAATGTACCTTGGGTATCTTTCGCCTCTCTTTTAGAGTTTGTTCTTTCTGGAAAATGTTGCATTATTTTTTTTCTACTTTTCGAATTGAACTATTGTTTGTTATTACTCGTCTCCTGTCCTAGTGAACGATTTTCTAACGTTAAAATCTAATACATTTGAGATTGTGCAACATTTTCCGCAAAACAACAGTACAAATGTTTGAATGACTCGCTCAAAACGTGTAAAGATGAGATATTTTTGTCAAGATTGATCATAATTCTTAAATTGAAATACAATGTATTAAACGAAAACAAACGCTTTTATTTTAATCAATCGTCATTTCCTTCACACATCTAAACTAAGCATAAACCCTGTTAAACAACAACTTTTACCATTCTTAGTTCTATAGTTGCCTTACATAATCATATACAAAGTAAACAAAAATATCTAAAACTTTGTCATATGACTCTGAAAACTAGATATCAATGTTCAGTCATGTAATAAAAAATGTACTAGTTTTCACAGGATTAACTAAAAATAAAATATTTAAGTTTGTATTATTAACAGTAATTTAAAAGGAAATAGATATCAGTCATGTCAGTGTTCAGTCAGGTACAAAAACTGTAGTGGTTTTCATAGAAATAACTAAAAATAAAACATTTAAGTTTGCATAATTATCGAGTGATTTAAAAGGAAATTTTACATTATAGCATTGTACAAAATCTTGTCTTTGTGTACTGTTTTCATGGAATGATTATAAAGTTGATTGATTTTTGTCTGATTTACGTCTAGTGGCAAATATGTCATAAATTGAGAATTGAAACAACGGGGAATGTGTCAAAGAGACAACAGCCCATGCCACCAATGGGTCTGCAACACAGCGAGAAAATCCCGCACTAGGAGGCGGGCGTCAGCTGGCAACTAAACAAAAATGTATACTAGTTCAGCAAAAATGGACGTCAAACTAAGCTCCGAAACATATAAATGAACAAACCTTAAAAATGTTTTTATTTGTTTAAAATATTTAGTGGTATTACTGAGAAAATCAATGTCAAAAGAACCTTTCTTAGATTTTGAATGAATAATACCACCGTGACGTTTTAATTGTATCAAAATACCTTACATTAATTAGAAGGTACGATTACAATAACATCATGCCTAGATTGTCCTTAAAATTTTCATTTCATCCCAACAATATGTTCCCGTAATATATATATATATTGTTTGTGCTGTATTCAGACCCCTCTAACAAGAAATTTGTTTTGCATGCACACGTATAAAAAATGCGGTTTTTATCCAACGCAATCATAGGTTTGAACGTTGTTTTCAATTTAGACTTGTATATATATATATATATATATATATATATAAGTGCCTATAAATAGCAGCACATGACATACAAATCTATGGGAGTGTGGATTAATCAGTACAGAGATTAATTCAATTACACAAATAAAATTATAGATTGCCTAACAATGTAATTTTAACACACTATTTAGTATGTAAATATAAGAATGTTTAAAATATTTACAAAATGATGAAAATAAACGCAATATTTCGCTAGACTAACTAGCTTTATCAAGCGTGCATCTATCCAGGTGAAATCGGATGTAGATGATAAGAAACTTTTGCAGCTCAATGTATATGTTGCACTTGAATTTAGCTGCCTTGAAAATAATACATAATTTGGATGAAGTTCAAGATTTTTACAAAATTGGTAGTTGAAGTTAGCAACGTCCATTGGCCAATATTACAGGATAAAAAGGACGATGCTGTGTACTAAATTATTCTTTATCTTTCCTGTATCTTTTCTCATCTTTTTCGTTAAGACCATCAGGTTCTAAAGTGTGGAGTTGGTGGATCCAAAAATTTTCTCTTCTCCTTCTCGCCGTGGTGTCCCACTCGGTGTTGACTTCTATGATTTGGAAGGTAACATTGTCAAAAGAATGTTTCGTTGAACGAAGATGTCTTGTGAGAGGACAGTTTTTGTTGGTTTTGTACCATGAACGATGGTTATTGAGCCGAATATTAAATTTGTCCATTGTTTCTCCCACATACTGAATGCCACATGTGTCACATGTTAATATATAAATTGAGTTCTCCGTTTTACAGTTGGAATTTGAGTAGATGGTATAATTTTGTTTAGTAACAGAGCTGATGAAAGAACTGCTTGTATTGGCAGCTTTACAACACAAGCAGTTCCTTCGACCACATTGTTTGTAGCAACCGGGAGATGGAGTAGGCTGCTTTGCTAATACAGATGTCACTAATTTGTCACGGATGTTTTTAGGTCTTCTGAAGGCCATGACTGGTGGTGAGGAAAATACTTTTTTAAGATTTGAATCATTTTCTATAATTTTCCAATGCTTCTGAACAATGGAAGACACATTTTTAAAATCAGGATGGTAAGTGAGTACAAGGGGTGTTCTGTTAGCTGCTTTATTCTTATCTTTGTACTCTCGAAGTTCTTGGCGACTAGTTTTGTTTGCTCTTTCGAAAGCGCTATCAATGATGTTGTTATTATATCCTCGAACAACTAGATGTTTACGTAGTTGTCCAAGTCTAGCATTTTGCGTATTTTCAGTAGAGCATATTCTCTTGATTCGCAATGCCTGGCTGAATGGGATGCCACGGGAGCAGTGTTTAGGATGGCAACTCTTAGGAGAAAGGAATTGATGTTTGTCCGTTTGTTTGGTATGAAGGTCCGTTATAATGGTTCCGTTCTTGATGTAACTCGTAGTGTCGAGGAAGTTTATTTTCTCCATAGATGATTCATATGTAAATTTTATTGAATGGTGGAAAGAGTTACAGTGTCCTAGAAATTCATTAAGATGTTCTTAACGGTACTAGTATGGGCACAAAAATGGCCCCGTCATATGCCAACATATCTATGGGCCAACTTGAAAAACGCCTCTTGGCTAGTGCTCCATACCAGCCCTTATCATGGTTCCGATTCATTGACGATATTGATTTCAAATGGACAGATTCACAAGAACATCTTAATGAATTTCTAGGACACTGTAACTCTTTCCACCATTCAATAAAATTTACATATGAATCATCTATGGAGAAAATAAACTTCCTCGACACTACGAGTTACATCAAGAACGGAACCATTATAACGGACCTTCATACCAAACAAACGGACAAACATCAATTCCTTTCTCCTAAGAGTTGCCATCCTAAACACTGCTCCCGTGGCATCCCATTCAGCCAGGCATTGCGAATCAAGAGAATATGCTCTACTGAAAATACGCAAAATGCTAGACTTGGACAACTACGTAAACATCTAGTTGTTCGAGGATATAATA